GGATATGATATTTTTACACAAGACACGCATATCTTTCAAATGGGGGTGGTTTGAAAGTGTTTAGACCTCGTTGATCCTTTAAAAACTCATTAGAAGGGAGATATCCTACCTGAAACCTAGTGTGCAGTTGGGACAGTGACATGTCCCACTTAGCACAGTTATAACTTTCAATCCATAAGGCATTTTGAAGTGTTTCCAAAACCAAAATTCGAGTAAAACACGTTTGAGAACATTTGGACTCCATTTGGGCATTCAAAAGTTCGTGACAACCAAAGTAATGGTTCTGAATTTTATGATATCTGACCACATTGACATATCTTCACAAATAATTGCATAACTCTCAATCTAGGAGGAATTTCCCCCACATAAACAAGAAGAAAATAAAAGTTCTAGCAACAATGAAAGAGCTGTGGCTCTTGAACTTTCTTTGAAATCTGGACTCATAGGAAAAGGAAACATAAGGTCCCTAGATTTGAAGATTTCTAGAATATCGAAACCCACAAAACATTGACTAAAGTGTAAAGACAGCTAAAACTGAAACAGAAAGAAAACCTCAAAGAAACCCAAAATTCTCATCACATCCTAGCAGGGTTACCGGAAAGATTATGTGTCAGCCGTCTAGTTCCTCTCCCTTCTCCACCCACCCCTTTCTTGTGGCCAATTGGAATCTCATGACTTATTTCACCATTCTCCATTGGTTGGAGGGAAGTCGACCTCAAGTTTGATTGGCCTTGTTCTCAAGAATGGTCTTCACCATTAGTTTCGTATCTCTTTCATTGGGTCTCCATATCATAATATCCTCCGCATCCTTGTGCAGTGAAATTATATCCTTCAAATCCCCCATAACCAATATAGTTGCAAGCCATTAGAGAATTCTTTTAGAGAAGGGTCTCTGTACTAGCAATTGAACTTCTGAAGTTCAACACCTTCCTCGTACAATACAAATCCTTCTTACAAAATTAAAAAAGGAAAGGATCTTGATTAGGTACTTCTTTGATCACCTCTTCCCCATTGTAGCAGTGGCTTGTCCCAATTGTCAAACTTTTACTCATGGGTTTTGCAAATGAAAATAGCCATTTGATCACAAGATAATTATTACTAACAAAAGCTCGAATGGGTGATGCCTCCCAATCTTCCAGATAATGCAAACTTGGAACTTATGTATGAAAATTTTAACACACAGCTCATGATTTTGTTCAAGGGCTCGAACTATCTCATTTTAAATCCTTGAATTTTCTAACTCTTCATAAGAAGCACAATTGTAGAAGGAGTTCTCAAATGAATCCTTGATTTATCCTCCAATGCCCTGTCCTTATTGGATGCAGCTCTGTCTTTGCTCTAGGAGAAGTAGAAGTTGCTCTTCTTGTTTCATGAGTTCTTGCAACACTTTCATCTCTCCTTCGGCTAGCCATTACAGCACCGCAAGCTCTCCTTGGTGGCTTTAAATCACTGTTTGAAAGATCCAAAAAAAGGAACTTGGTCTGATACTAACTGTTGGAAACCTCTTGAGAACAAACTTGATCGGATACCAAAATGATGCAAACCAATCCTTGAGAATGTCCTACCCTTTTGTAAGCTCGCCAAGTCTGGGGGAGAATACCTAGCTAGTGGGCCACACTTGAGCCTTTAGGAGCTACGGAGAGCAATCAGGTCATTTTGAACCCATTTGTGCACTTCCTCCTATAGTTTCCAAAAAGTGGCCTGCCCAATGCCTAGACGGGCTAGCGGGGCTGGGCAGGCCCCCAGGGACTGTGCCCCTCAAGAAGCAAAGTTGCCCTTGTGGGGGGCATTTTTCATACTTTTCCCCCAAATAAGGGGGAAAAGGGAGGGGCTTAGCTTTTCACATGTCCTACACCCCCTTTTTAAGTAAAAAAAAAAGAAGCAATTTTGCTTCCAATCAATTAATTGAAAGTATCAAAAAATTGATCCAAACATCAGCATTTTGAATGTGGATATGATTTTATCAATTTTAGAAGCTTACTAGAGTGCCTTTGAGATTGACAAACATCTAAAACATTGAAGACTAAGTGGTTAGTTAAGAATCTTCATATTTGAAATTTTATTTATTATTTCAATGACTTCTTCAATATTTGAGATGTTATTTTCAATGACTTCTTCAATACCTAAAAGAGATTGTTTCTAATACCTAAGGTTGATAATCCAGGAGAATAGAGAGATTGAGGAAGATGCCACACATAGAATTAGAGTTGGGTGGAGGAAGTGAAGACGTGCATCCCAAGTTTTATGTAATCGCCACATGCCATTGAGACTGAAGGGGAAGTTCAACAGGACGGCTATAAGACCAGTCATGCGTTTTGGGACGGAATGTCTAGCAGTCAAGAAACAACACATCCATAAGATAAGTATAGCTGAGATGAGGATGTTGAGATGGAAGAGTGGCAGAGAAACAATGATAGAATTTGGAATGAATACGTGCGAGGGAACTTCTTCTTGTCGACTAGGACATCCTGGATGAGACCATGGTTCGCATGGGTTTTGGAGCGTGCTAGAGAAAATGGATGAAAGGATGTTGCTCCCAACCTTTCTTCTCTGTTCTAATTAACGGCACACCCAAGGGTTTCTTCCCGGCTACAAGGGGACTACATCAGGGAGACCCCCTTTCCCACTTCCTCTTCGCCATCTCAGCTGAAGTATTCAACCAATCCATTTCCCACACATGTACCAGACGGGCCGTCTCTTGGGTTTCAAAAGTAGCCCCCAAGGGTCGTGTCATCTCTCTACACTGATGACACACTCGTATTCCTCGACATGGTATCTCAGGAAATCGAAACCCTGATAATCTTAAATGTTTCGAGTTCGCCACGGGTTTCAAAGTCAACATGTCTAAATCCATTCTAATAGGAGTCGCCCTCACCCCGCAACAAACTCGTTCTGTTGTCTTGGCCGGGAATGCAAAGTGGACGCTCAGCCAACTAGCTATCTTAGTATGCCACTGAGCCATGGAAAACCAAAAAGATGCAGTGGTCCCACATCATTGACAAAGTGGATCACCATTTGGCAGGTTGGAAAGGCCGCTTTCTTTCCTTCATAGGCAGAACCATGCTCATTAAGGCCACCTTAGCCAATACCCCCATTCACCTCATGTCCTTGTTTCACATGCCAGACGCGGTGGCCGCCCGCCTTGATCAGCTCATGAGGACTTTTTTTGTGAGCGGGAGACATCAACACCAAGGAATACCACCTCATCTCCTGGGAGAGACTTTGCCAACTGAAACATCTGGGAGGTCTTGGGATTCAACTTTTGAGGAAGCAGAACACGACCTTGCTCGATGATTGGATACCGTTGCAAATACCGTATCCCTCTCAATGATTGGATACCCACCAGCAGTCTTCCAGGCATGGTCCTCCATCTCTCCCCCCAAGTCCAATCTTTTGCATGGATAACGCTCTCTAAAAAATCTCTTATGGTGGATCACCTTCGGTGTAGGGGCGTCCCCATCCCCAAACGCTGTGTTATGTGCCTCTTGGACGAAGAAAGCAACCCACACTTTTTCCTCCATTGCCACATGGCCCACAACCTTTGGAGTCCATTACTCCAATTGTTTGGTTTGCAATGGATTACCCCCCTCTCCATCCTGGTACTTAACTATTTAAATCTCGCCACCCCCAAAACAAGGGTGGAATTGGGCTCTCGAGCAAGGGTAGAAATTCTCATTTCTCCCCTTAATAGGGGTAGAAGGGTTTTGGACACTTCCTAGCTTTTAGAGTGAGAAAACCCTCAAAACAAAGATTAGATAATTTTTTTGAAGATTGGAATTTTATTTTCGGTTCTTTTGATTTCTGAAGAAATTAAAAAGGATAGAAATCGTTGATTGTGAAATTCAAAGATGTGCTTATATATTTTAGATGTTTTCCCAACTAAAGGCTGCCAAATCGGGCCAACTTTGATTAGGTTTTGAAAGCTCAGTTTTTCCTTTTTCTTCCTTCCTGGGACTTAGGAGGGGGCAGACAGGTCTTTTGAGACTTGTCTTTGTTTGTAGCGTCAATTGCTCTGTTTAATCCATAAGTTTGATGGTCCATATTCACAAGTTGTATGACCTATTGACCACTTCTTATTTTATTTCAAGTACTACTAGTTTGCACAAGTTTCAATATTCTAGATTTCTAATAAGTCAAGTTTCTAACTCATGTTTGTATCCAGAACCAAAAAAAAGAACCCAAACCACACTAAAAGTAAGAAGTGTAGTTTATTTTTGAATAATAATCATACTTAGGGAGCTTTGGTACTAATCCCATACCCCATACAACTCCTGACCCCACTACTTCGGTTCTGGGGCACCTCAAAAATGTGTTGCCTGTCTAGGAGGCCATGGCACCCCCAAGGCGACCAGAACCCCCGGCTGCCTTCTGCTTTTAAAACATTGAATATATATGCAAGACACAGCCTCTAAGGTTCAGTCAGCCTAGAATTTTTCCAAATCACAGAATTAATTCGACTATGACCTTCCTCAATACAAATTGTAAAATCTGGACTCACAGGAAAAAGGTAATGTGCAGTCCCCAAATTTTGAAGACATCCAAAACAGTTTCTATCGTTTGAAGGTTTTCAAAGCATTGAAACCCATAAACATCTACACAAGTCTATACTCTAAAAACAAGTAAAATTTGTAAAGATAGAAAACCCCAAAGAATCCAGAAATTCTCATCACATGCAAGCAGAAGGCACTATCCAAAATACCACGAGTCCCCCTAGTTCCTCCAGTTGTTTCTTCTTTCGTCCAACTGTAATCTCATGACTGGTTTCATTAGAAGATACCTCAAATACAAAGGGTTTCTTGAATGTAGGAAATCTCAAGAAAAAAATAAAAGCAAATTTCAAAGCCTTGGAGATATTGTAGCAATCAAATATCCACCAAAATTGTAAGAGAATCACATTTCGTCCACCAAGAAGCAATAAATCAACAGCAAATATAGAATGAATTTATTCATCTAAGAAAATACAGAAACAAAAGTCATGTGAACTACTGAAGGCGACTTACATCCGTACTCTTCAGAAGGGCAATCTTTGACTGCCCATAGAAGTATCCAATACCTCCTAGCAGATTTCCAATAGAAGCCTTACCAACTGTCAGAGCCTCAAGGCCAACCTGAAAGAATATTATCATAAGATCAAGGCATAATAGAAAAGGGGCTGGGGCTGGGGTCGGGGCGGTAACATCCCCACACCCAGTTACCTCATCGTGGTATCCATTCCTACCACTGACAACGCCAATTTAACACCTTCAAAATGGAACTCCCTAATCTATTGAAAGAACAGGTAAGGGCCCGTCTTCCCCACTGAATTACCCAAAAACAAAGATCAAGGCATAATGACGATGACCAAGTCCAATAACCACTGCCTTTTATAAGTAGACCAGTAAACAGTTATTTTAAAAGTCAGTCCAATGACCAAATTAGGATGGTTAAATCCTTGAATTCCCTCAAAAAACATTGAAACGTATATACATGTCATGCCCTTGAAACTCAAAAGTAAGTGAGTCAGTAACACAAATCACTCATAGAGATTCAAAATAACATAAAAAGCGATATCTCAACACATATCAACTCTATTAAAAATATTAGAATATAGCATATCACAAATAAAGAAACACATTCTAATGATTAAACAGTGAAAATGTCCATCATAGAGAGCTGATGTACATAAAAGTAACTAGTGCTAACAACTCGGAAATTGCATGCACACATGTGCATACAGGTGAGTGAGAGTGCATGTGTGCTTGCTGGCACATATGCTGCTAAAGAAAGAAACATAACTGTAAATTATATACTAGAAGCTCTGAAAACATGCACATCAAAGGATGGAACAATTACGAAAGAAAAGCGCCAGTATAATCATGTCGTTTGCCTATTAACCAAGGGAGGTCTTGGCATTGGCTATAATATACCTCAGTAATTGTGAGTTGGAGCCCCAAAGTGGCCACCATGGATCATTGGTCGAGATCCCCCATCATTCAAACCCAAGCACGTGACTGAGAAGCCTCATCAAGGATGTACATCCTTTCTTTTTCTTCTTGGTGTACACCATACTTTTGGATGAAGTCCAAGGTTTGGTGTTTTTGTATTCTAAGCCAAAACATGCCCCCCCCCCCCCAAAAAAAAGCCAAAACTGTATGGATTAGAGCACAGTTGTTGGAAACGACTGGGAACCCGAATCGTTTTAGGAATCGGACTCGCATAATCGTGGCTGGCTAGAAGATTCCTATCTTAGGAATCGTTGTCCGTACAATAGGAATCACTAGAAACGAGATTCCTAGTTTTTGAGAATCATATTTTGACCGAAATAGATCCAAGTTTCATCCACATATGGAATCAAGATTCCCATCCCCTTAGAATCAACACTCTAGGAGTCAAGATTCATTAATATACGGAATTGAGATTCCGACATCTATGGAATCGAGTTTCTGACATATGTCGAATAGATATATGTGGCTGTTTCAAATCGTGATTCTAACATATTTGGAATCAAGTTTCTAAAGTATAAGGATCAGAGATCCATGCTAGTTTAAGATCGAGATTTACAATAATATGGATGATGAAATGCGTTTGACGACCCCTACCAGGAATTGAGATTTCATTTTTATGGAGAACGAAGCCACAAGCACATCTTGAGCCTCACCAACTTTAGAATCGATATTGGGTGTCTCTTATTAGAAGGTTTCCCAAATTTTAAAAGGATTGTGTTGTTTATTGAACTTACTGTCATTACATACAAAAGTCAAGTATTTTTAAATTGTAATTTTGACTTCATTATTATAAAGACAAAATAGGATTATGTCTATGCCATGGTTTTATTTTAGTTGTATGTGTTGTATTTACCAATTATATTCTAAATTTAAAGTGAAGGCCATTCATGGTAGCACAAGTAAAATAATGAAACCTTGCAACCACTAGAAGCATTTGAAGGAAGATTTCTACTCTAATTGATGTGGAATCAAGATTTAATCCTCGCTGGAATCCATATTCGATTATTTGAGAATGTCTACCCACAATTAATGAATTCAAGTTTCTAAAGATGTGTTGGATCGAAATTCTAAAATTAAGGAATCGAGCTTCCTTGGTTCCAAGAAATGGTTTCTAAAGATGTGTTGAATCAAGATTCCGAAATTAAGGAATCGAGTTTCCTTGGTTTTGAAAAATGGTTTCTAAAGATGTGTCGAATCAAGATTCCGAAATTAAGGAATCAAGTTTTGTTGGTTTCGAGAAACGGTTATGTGGAGATTCCTTAACAAAAACGCGGAATTAGGTTTCGAAACTGGAGATATCGGTGGAGAGATTTGGTAACTATGGATGACAATCAAAGAAAAGGAGAACCACCCCATCAAAGCTAAGGCAGAGGTGGTGTCTGCCTAACTAGCCCACGAGGCCTACAAAGTCATAACCTAGGGCTATGGTTTCACAGGGCCTCGTGATGTAGGGTAGTGACACCATAGGACCTCATTGGCCTCCTGTGGGATCCATGTATCAACAATGTGCTGTATCGGGTCCATGGAACCATGAATTCAACAAGCCTAGAGGACCATGGAGCCAATCTATAACCTTGGGTCCCATAGTATCAAACAGGCAATCGTGTGTCCAATGGGACTCAATAGTGACGAGCCCTGAAGCCAATGAGATTACAGGTGTAAACACGTGAGGTCCCTCATATTCATAAGCTAAGTTTATTAGATTACAGCCTAGAGCTATCATCCATGTCCCACCTTAGCTGTACAAAGGTGATGAATGTAGAACCTCCTTATGAAGCCTTCATGGGGAATTCTAGATCACTTCTTGCACATAATTTGGACCCACATTGCATGCCACCAGGACTTCATGAGAGTAATACATGCTTCGAGACTTCATGAGAGTAATACATGCTTCGACAACGAACAATTTACAAAAGCCAAGCATCCCTCAAAGTTGTTGTTTGTGCGATATCTTTAAGGGAATAAGGAATGAAATAATGGAATTTTGGAGTGACATGGAGCATGTGGTGGTAAATACAAGCATCAAGAACAGTACCATGTCATGGGCCCCTGGTAGAGAGGAGTTTAGATGGGCAAAGAGCAAAGGATCTATTCGAGAAAAGGACGACTTTGGTAAGAAAGGAAGCTTCCCAAGAGAGAATGACATGGATATAAAAGTTTCCACCAATTGAGGCACTGAAGCTGATCTTCTCTAGCAGTTCTACGTGTAGTCTGCGCGGTATCAAAAGCTGCCAAAAGATTTCCTACTCCCGTCGAAGTATACCATCCAATTACTCCCTCGGGCAAAACACATGTTAGGGATACTTTTTGGATCTCAAATTTTGGGGATTACTCTCTGCAACCCATAGAATAATCTTAGCAAAACAACATCCGAAATAGACTCTCTAGGTACTAGAAAAACCTTATGCGTCAAGATTGAATAGAGACCGTTCAATTTGCAAAAGGCTAGATCTATGTGTCACAAAACTCAAATTTTTCTTTTAAAAGAAGTCATCTAGTAGTTCTTATGTGGTTCCCAAAATTTAAGACCAAGAAGATTCTTCTAAACAGGTTTTTGAGCGAGGGAGAAGACGCACAGTATTCTCCCGCGACAGCATAGTATATGCACTCATAAAAGCTAATAAAAATGAATCTAGATCATCTCACACAAAAAAACACAAATGCCACCTTAGGATGTAATTATCAAAATGCAAATGATCAAGCCGCCACATCGAGCAATTTAGCCGATTGCATGAGGAATTTCATCTGCGGCAACATGGAAGGGCTCGTCGAATTTTATGACCAACGTCAATAGAAGTCAGACAAATAACTGTTGTTCCAATTACCACTATTCTTTAACCAGCACATGAGAGCCACAATCACTAGTGCCCTGATCTGCAGTGTGCTTCGACTGTATAGAAAAAAGCGTCATACTTTTGATGAAGGACTATTGAGTATAGATTCGGAGAAAGGTAATTTGTTCGATGGTGATGTTCCGTCCCCACCTAGATTCCATTCATGGGCATCAGTAAGTTCCATCTGCAAGGCACAGCCTTCCTTAGTCTTTCACATTGGCCCCCATTATGACAAAGGATCTTCAATGGCAAAAAAGTAGAACAAATACACTAAGATGGAAGAGACCTACTAATATATCCAATGTCTCGGCTGTGATATGATGAGAAGCTATTCCCCCTGGAACAAAAGGATCAAAACCTTCCCCATGCCGGATTTACAGATTGCACTTTTCCTGTTAGTCCATAAGGATCAGACACCCATATTTCAGGACCATACAAACCTGTGACATGAAATGCGCCAAACCAAAAGCAAGCCACCCCTGATAGAAATAAATGAATTCCAAAGATTATGCGGATATAAATACCAACACCTGTCCCCTCTTTGCCATAACTACACTCATTTAATCAACCCACCCAACATAGAAGCACACACCAAAAAGCTACCCTCCATGCTTCAACCTCTATCCCCTCATTCACAAAATCCCCACTAGTATATCCGCTGCAAAACCCTCCCAACCAGATCCTCTTGCCTAAACAAACAAATGAGCCTCTTCTCAGACTTCATCCTTACCCCACCCAAAACCAAGAATACCGGTTCTCAAATGGCTCCAACCAGGCAGACGCCACAACCATGACCAGGAAGATCACCTCTCCTCTCCTCATATGTAGCTGATGGCTTCTTTCACTTGTCCCAGGAATGATGTCCAGGGAAGCCTAAGGTGGCTTGAATCAATTTTACCCACCTATCCGTTGGAGGCCCTTACAATCAGGCGGGTACCTGGTCTCTTTTTCCTCCAAAAAAGTCAACTGTAAGGCTCTAAGCTCCACAAATCTGTCCTTAAAGGAGGTCCCCTGCACCTGAAAAGATTGTCAGAGGCCATCTGATGATGATCTATCAAAAACCAAAAACTCTGGATAAATACCAATGGAATCATGGCACATCTATGGAACCAGCAAACCTTCCAGACTACTAGTGCTTGCTGTGGAGGCTTTGTCTTAGCACACTGGAAATCATTTCGCAAGTACCCTATCTATAGGTTCAGCTCTACATTGTGACAGATTAGCCAACCCCCAAACAACCTAAAATTCATATTTATTCACTCTTGGGAGTTCTACTAAAAAATTGAAATT